CGGGCCTATTCCGGGGGATCCGGCTGGGCGAGAGGTGGGAGCGCGGGAGGGGCGAGGAGGGGTGCGGGCGGTGGGAGGCATTTCGCCGCAGTGGCGCCTGCCTTGCCAGCGGGGCCTTTTGTCTCTCGCGCGGCGAGTCCAAGGGCAAGCGCGCGGCTGCCTCCGACGGGCCGCTCCCCTGGGGCGCGCACTTGGGGAGGCCTGCCCATCCCCCGTGCCCGGAGGCCCCCCACCTCGCAGTCCGAGCGGACGATGCCCGCCCTCCGGCCCAGGGAAGCCCCCTTCCCGCTTTTGTTCGGGACAACGCGGCTGCAGCACGTTGCATAATCGTCAGCATTTAGCTGAAGTGGCGGGGGGGGGGAGGGTGATTAGCTTCCGCAACGCTGCAGCCCCCCCCCCCCATGCCTTGGGCCTCCTTCAGAGTTGACCTTGAGGGGAGGGTTGGGGGGGGAAGAGGATGCCTCGCTCCTCTTCCTCGGCCTACCCGCCCAAGGGACAGAGGCTCCCCCCTCCCGCCCCTCCCCTCCGCGCCACTATCCGGTCCCCCGGCCGTTTTCTGGCCCAGCAGCCGCAGGTGAACGGGAAACCCCTCTAAGGACGGAGCCGGGAGCCGGAGCCTGGGGGAGCACTGCGGCTATCGGCGGGACGGCCGGTTGGGCGGGCTGAAGAGGGATGCGGGGCACAAGGGTCATTGCCTCTTGTTGCCTCTACTAAGCGGGGAGCCGCGAAAGCATCTCTGATGTGCATCTCTGCCGTCCTTGTCAGGAGTCTAATGGTCTCTCCCTCCTGCCTTTCCTCCCCCGGCCTCCCTCCCTCCTGTCTCTTGCCCGTCCCCCCTCCCTCCCTCCCCACCCCCACCCCTCCTGGCTTCCGCTGGCTTCCCCCCTCCCTCCCTCTCGCAGGTGGCTATATCAGCGACTACATCGCGCCGTCTTCGGTGTACGAGGGGGAGGGCGAGAACGGCCTCAAGGTGCCCCCGCCGACGGCTGTCATCTACCCGGGGACTCACGGCGACTCGGACCAGGCCGACAGCCCGCACTCGGCCTTGGCCGGGGGCTACATCAACGGCGACGCGGCGGTGAGCGAGGGCTATGCGGTCGACGCCTTCTTCATCACCGACGGGCGCTCGCGCCGCAAGGCGGCGGTGGTGGGCGGCGGCGGCGGCGGCGGGGCCGGGGGCGCGGGCTCCCGCCTGGGCCAGCCCCCTCCCGTCAGCGGGCAGCCCCCGGCCCCGCCGCCCCCGCCGCAGCAGCGGCACACCTGCAGCGAGTGCGGCAAGACCTACGCCACCTCGTCCAACCTGAGCCGCCACAAGCAGACCCACCGCAGCCTGGACAGCAAGATGGCCAAGAAGTGCCCGACGTGCGGCAAGGTGTACGTCTCCATGCCGGCCATGGCTATGCACCTGCTGACGCACGACCTGAAGCACAAGTGCGAGGTGTGCGGGAAGGCCTTCAGCCGGCCGTGGCTGCTGCAGGGCCACATGCGCTCCCACACGGGGGAGAAGCCCTTCGGCTGCGCGCACTGCGGAAAGGCCTTCGCCGACCGCTCCAACCTGCGCGCCCACATGCAGACTCACTCGGCCTTCAAGCACTTCCGCTGCAAACGCTGCAGCAAGACCTTCGCCCTCAAGTCCTACCTGAACAAGCACTACGAGTCGGCCTGCTTCAAGGGCGCCGTCCCGCCGCCGCTCAGCCCGCTGGAGGCCTGACAGAGCACAGCACGGCGGCGGCCCCCCCCTCCTCCTCAGGCTGCCCCCTCCCCCTCCCCGCCCCTCCAGGAAAGCGGGTGGAGGCCAGGGGCGGGGCGAAACGCCCAGCGCCTCACCTGGACAGGTAACCCCCGCCCAGCCGCAGCCTCCCGGCCGCGCTCGCCCCCCTCCCTTTGCTGCTCCCGCGGAACGACGGGACCGACGCCTCCGCCCTCCCGGAGCTCCCCCCCCTCTTTGCACTCGACGAGGGGTCGGCTGGTTTCCTTCCACGAAGCCGCCGAATTTCTATTTTCCTAAATGTTTACGTTACCTTATATTTTGATTTCGCTGTTTTAAGAGAAAAACAAGGACGGGAAAGGTAGAGAGGTATGTATTTAACACGGAGGCGGTCTTATTTATTTATTTATTTATTTATTCATTTGCTTCCTTAACGAATGTATTCATTTCTTTACCTGTTGGTTTATTGCGCGGGGCAGCGCCCCCTCCCTCCACGTTGCACTTTTGTGTTGGTTTTTTAATTATTTTGTTGTTTTTAAAGCCGAGCCGACGATTTTGCACCGCTGTTGACTTCCAATCCGTACGTTTGTTGCCAAGACTTCTTTACTATGCCAAAGTCTACGTCACTTTTTGAAAGGGGGGGGGGACGAGGAATCCAGGACTGGCCGTTCTTTTGTTTTTCCTTCTTTTGGTTTTTGCTTTCTCCCCTCCCCCCCCCTTTTCCAGGTCGGGGCGAGGGTGGGGGGTCAACGATCGCCATCCTTTCTAACGCAGGATTTTTTGCATGCAAGAAGAAATGTACTTAAATCTATGCCAATTTGATGATGCTTTTTAAAATTATTATTATGATGATGATGGATTTTCATTTGTAACACTTTACATCACTTTGTTTTCCTTTGCCAAACTTTTAGATAATAATAGTCTATTTGAGGGCAATATTCTCCTACTGAACTAATAGAAGCAATAATTAAACGTAATGCATGTTATTTTTAAGACAATAGTACTACTGAGGAATCAGGTAACTTTTAATCCAACTTCTTAATAGCAACGGATATCAGGGACTTTGCCAGTGTAGTGAACTCGAGTTAATGAGGCGAACCTTCCTCCTTCTCTTCTCTTCTTCTCTTGTCTTTTAATGAATGCACACTGCCTGCCTTCTTCGACTTTCTTCCGAGTAGCTTAGTCAAGTCTCCGGGCCTGTAGCGCTTGCCTGGCCGGAGAAATACGAGCAACACCCCGCCCGAATCCCCCCCTCCTCCTCCTCTGCCTCCCTGCGGGGCCTATGCCCCACTCCGACTCCGTGGCTTTCAGGCTTTGCCAGCCCCGTCCTCTGCCTCCGGGGGGGGGGGAGGGAAAGGGGGCGTGGGATGCAGCCCAGCAGGGGTGGAGAAGCCTCTTCCCCGTCTCCCCCCCCCTTCTTTCCTTCCAGGGTCTCCCCCAGCGCCAGAGCCTGCACCGAACAGGTGCCTTCCGCCCCATCGGTGGAGAGACACCGTAGCAGGGATGACTTTCCTGGTCTCCCCAGGGTCAGGTCTGCCTCCCGGTCAGCTGCCGGGTCGCTGATGGCTCCGGCTGTCCCCCCCCCCTCCCCTCAAGGCTTGGCCCTCTGGCACGGCCGCCTCTTCCGATCCTCCCGTTTCCCCGCAGGAACCTTCCGCCCACGTCACGGGCCTGCGGGGAAAGGGAGACTTCTAGAGACATTGCCTTCCCTTACGAACATTAAGCCCCCTTCCCGAAAGCCACGAGGACCCCCCCCCTTTCTCTCCCACTCTTAAGCACTACTTCCCCTGTAGGTCTTTCCATTTTATGAATAACTTAAGAAAAATAAACAGCACAAAAGAATAAAAAAATACCTTAATAGAAATCAGGTAGAAGGAACTTGTATTAGCTAGCACCTCCTGTTTTTGTACTCAAGATAATTAACGATGCTACTAGAACAATGACTTCTAATACTAATATTGCTATTAATACTCCCTCTTGCTGACTTATAAAAAGGGAATCGACGCGGATGCTTTGTAAATACCGTTTGGAAATTTACATGAATTTTTACAAGCTGTTAAAAGAGTTCTGGGCCTGTTTGTGGGGGGGTGGGAAGCAAAAAGCAAAAACCGAGACTCTTCCCGGGGAGAAAAGACGGACTGTCCGAGCGGAGAGCAATGGCCAGGATGCCAGAGAGGATGTTTGAGGCAGACGCTGAGCGGTGGACCAGTAAAGCACAATTCGCACACCGTGTCCTGCAGCATTTCACAATAATAAGAAGCATAATAAAAAAGAGAGGATACTCTTGTAGTAGACCGGCGTGGCGCCTTCTTCCTCCGCGCGAGCGAGCGAGGGGGAGGGGGGGCTTGCTCTCTGCACATGCTCCGAGCCTCGTCAAGCTTGGGCCGGCCTCGAAGCGGGCTCTTTCCCCGGCTCGCCCTTCTTTCTCTCTTCGGTCGTCCAGCCGTCCACGATCACCGTCGAGGAACGTCTGAGGGCCGCGGCTAGGAAAGCGGTTGGTCCGAACCAGCTGCGACGTCCCTCTGGCCGCCTCCCTGGCCCTGAGGCGCTGCAGCTCACCAGAGTGCTCCGTGGATCTTGGGCGTCCGCTGTCACCCGGCCGACCTCTGAGCCCCGAAGCCTGTTCTTTCCCCGCCATCACCCTGCAGGGAATGCCAAAGATGCGCCGGTCCCAGGAGTTCTGCCTCCTCTCCCCACCTGCCAGGAGCGCATCGAGGAAAAGCCCCCTTGTGGCCCCGAGCTGGTTGGGGCAGCGGAGGGCATTGGCAACGCCTGGAGGCAACTTCTGTCCCACTGATTAATTGTTCTCCCTGTCAGGAAATTCCTCCTCAGTCCTAAGTTGCTTCTCTCCTTGATCAGTTTCCGCCCGTTGCTTCTTGTTCTACCCTCAGGTGCTTTGGAGACTCTTCCACCAAAGGCCTATGAAGAGGCCAAGTTGGGTTAAGCTTAAGCCCGGCCCTTCCCAGCTGAAGGTCCCCACACCCTTCAGACCCGCATCTGCAAAGCCGCAGTGCCGGGCTTCGCACTCCTTCCTCGGGGCATTTTGTAGGGACAGCTTATTATTTCGGTCACGTCTGCTTCCAGGTTTCGCCGGCCAACTTTTCGGCAGTGGCCCCAATGCGCTCGGGCCGATCGCTCAAGGGAAGGAGGGCCTTTTTCTCGGGGCTGAAGGGCCGCCGGGCGAAACAAGGGGGCCCCTTTCTTCTGGAGTCGAAAAGCGCGGCGGATTTACTGCAACGGCCGGGATTCAGAAGGTCCCGGAGTCCAGGCTGGGTTTTTGGCTCCGCCAACACGCGACCTGGGTTGGGGCGAGGAGGCGAGTTGGGCGTCTGCTATGAGGCCGGGGCAAACAGTGGCGTTTCTAGCGCGCGGAGGTCACCTCGCTCAATGCGGGCCCCGAGGCTGTGACGGCCGAAGAGGCCCCCGCGCGCTCTCAGGCCAGAGCTGGCCCGGGGCGCTTCTCCACATCAACCACCGGGCAAGCCTGGGGGAGCGAGGGGAAGCGAGGAGCGACTGAGGTGCTGCTGGTTCTTGGGGGGGGGAAGGGGGCGCATTCTAAGGCACCGGGCAGGGCGAAGCGCAGGGAAGCCCCAAAGGCGCTCCTGATGCCGGGCGGGAGGGGGACAAGCTGCTGCCTCCGCTCCCCGCCTGCCCGCTGACTCAGGCAGAGGCGGAGGAGGGTCAGCTCAGGTCAGGCTGCCGCAGCGGGGGCGGGCCGGGCTCTCCCCCCCCCCCCCCGCGCCGCACTCCGCTGCCCCTACAGGACAGTTGCACCGCAGACACCGGGAAGAGAGCGCGGGAGAGAGGATGGGACGGATCCCTTTGGCTGCGGTGGGCGCGCGTGCCGTGCGTGCGTGTAGCGAGCAGAGATGCGGACGGGGATGTCACGTGCTCAGACCCCCCCACCCCCCCCAAAAAAACCCCAGCAAACAATACTTTAAAGAAGGGAGCCCCTCCCGCTCCTCCTTGGAAGGAAAGGCGAGCCACCTTCCTCCCCTTGGCCGTGCTGGAATTGGAGGGGCTCCGGCCTCGGAAGTGACACGAATAGAGCCTCTCGGGGGATCCCTCTGCCGTTGCCTTCGACCCGGCCAGGAAAGGCGCGTAGCCTTTACCTGCCAGGAAATAGCCAGAGAAACGCCCGAAGAGCCCGAACAGCGAGGGCGTCCCTCTTACTGCTTTCGTCAGCGGTTCCGAGCGGGGGAGGGGGGGGTCTGCAAAGGGGCGCTCCTGTCCTCCCCCCGCCGGAGAGTAAAGAGGGAGGAGGCTGCATTTTCCCCCTCGGAAGCATTTCCCATGGTGCACAGCTAGGCTCGGCGGCGTTGATGGGGGTCTCTCTACCTACACAGGACCCTCCTGGAGCGATTTCGGCGTTTCCTGAGCAGGCCGTTGAGTCCCTCCTTCCTTCGGGGCTCCGCCTGCGTCTGCCCCGCTTCGGGGAGGGCCCCGGGAAGTCACCCGCTCTCCCCAGATTAGTTCGCCCATCAAGGTGAGATCCTGCAGCCCAGGTGCTTCGTGGAAGAAGAGCGGGGGCTCCGGCAGCCTAGGCAGGGCGGGAGGAACCACCGGTCCAAGGACCCCCGTGCGGCTGCCTGCCGAAGGGCCCGGCGCGCGCCTGCAAATCGGCTCCCCCTCCCTCACCCAGGCGCCTCCGGTTCTCTAGCGGGGTGGCGCTGCGGGGCCGAGACCACCTGTGGCGGAGCCCCCCCTTCAGCCCCGCCCGCCCAGACTTGCAGGGAAGGAGCGGAGGTCGGGCTGGCCGATTCCGGGAGGAACCCTTCTGCGGTTCTCAAGGCGGCCTGGGGCGTTTGGTGGGCTCTTCTCGTGGGGAGAAGCGGCGTGGAAAAATTCCTCCCCCGGGCAGAGTTTTAGCTCCGAGCGGATGGGTTCGGCTGCCCCGGCAGGGACCGGAGGGGTTAGTGGGCGGAGAACCCTCGGCGCCTTCGCTGACCGCCCCCCCCCCCCCCGCGCCACTCCGTTGACAACCGGACTTTTCCCACGGAAGA